CCTTATATTCTATGATTCTCTATGATTCTATTACTAAGTGGGCATCAGGAATATTCCTTCGACATTAATCTACTGAAAAAAGCCTATTTGTCTGATGCTTGTATCCATGATACATTTTGTATGATTTGTTTTTATTGCTAACAAACCTTATTCAAAACAGGGCACTGGCTGCAGTTCCAGAAGTGGCCTAGGTGGTACTGCTAGGGAATATAGGTGCTGTTGGAGCGGAAAGCAAAGGATATCTGAGTGAGACAATGTGAGGAGATGTACAGACACTGCAGTCAGCCAACTGCCTCCAAAATAAAAACAACCACCCCAATCAGCCATCAGAACTGTGCATAAATCAGATACTGCAAAAAAAATAAATAAATAAAAGGAACTGGTTCGGAGAGGATGTGTGTCAAGGAAAAGCCTGTAACATCAAAGGCAGTTTTGCTATCACTAGCTCACAAGTACAAGATAAAAGGGAGTAGATTTTCATTGCAAAGTACTTGGCTATAAGAAAAGGAGGACTTGTGGCACCTTAGAGACTAACCAATTTATTTGAGCATGAGCTTTCGTGAGCTACAGCTCACTTCATCAGATGTTTACCGTGGAAACTGCAGCAGACTTTATATACACACAGAGAATATGAAACAATACCTCCTCCCACCCCACTGTCCTGCTGGTAATAGCTTATCTAAAATGATCAACAGGTGGGCCATTTCCAGCACAAATCCAGGTTTTCTCACCCTCCACCCCCCCACACAAATTCACTCTCCTGCTGGTGCTAGCCCATCCAAAGTGACAACTCTTTACATAATCAAGTCGGGCTATTTCCTGCATAGATCAAGGTTTTCTCACATCCCCCCCACCCCCATACACACACAAACTCACTCTCCTGCTGGTAATAGCTCATCTAAACTGACCACTCTCCAAGTTTAAATCCAAGTTAAACCAGAACATCTGGGGGGGGGGTAGGAAAAAACAAGAGGAAACAGGCTACCGTGCATAATGACTTAGCCACTCCCAGTCTCTATTTAAGCCTAAATTAATAGTATCCAATTTGCAAATGAATTCCAATTCAGCAGTTTCTCGCTGGAGTCTGGATTTGAAGTTTTTTTGTTTTAAGATAGCGACCTTCATGTCTGTGATTGCGTGACCAGAGAGATTGAAGTGTTCTCCGACTGGTTTATGAATGTTATAATTCTTGACATCTGATTTGTGTCCATTTATTCTTTTACGTAGAGACTGTCCAGTTTGACCAATGTACATGGCAGAGGGGCATTGCTGGCACATGGGAGTGGCTAAGTCATTATGCACGGTAGCCTGTTTCCTCTTGTTTTTTCCTACCCCCCCCCCAGATGTTCTGGTTTAACTTGGATTTAAACTTGGAGAGTGGTCAGTTTAGATGAGCTATTACCAGCAGGAGAGTGAGTTTGTGTGTGTATGGGGGTGGGGGGGATGTGAGAAAACCTTGATCTATGCAGGAAATAGCCCGACTTGATTATGTAAAGAGTTGTCACTTTGGATGGGCTAGCACCAGCAGGAGAGTGAATTTGTGTGGGGGGGTGGAGGGTGAGAAAACCTGGATTTGTGCTGGAAATGGCCCACCTGTTGATCATTTTAGATAAGCTATTACCAGCAGGACAGTGGGGTGGGAGGAGGTATTGTTTCATATTCTCTGTGTGTATATAAAGTCTGCTGCAGTTTCCACGGTAAACATCTGATGAAGTGAGCTGTAGCTCACGAAAGCTCATGCTCAAATAAATTGGTTAGTCTCTAAGGTGCCACAAGTCCTCCTTTTCTTTTTGCGAATACAGACTAACACGGCTGTTCCTCTGATACTTGGCTATATGCACTCAAGCAGGGAGGTACAGTAGACATGCAAGCAGCTCTCCAGCATGAGTGTGTTGGGAGGCACAAGGCCAAGTGATTGCTGACCCATGGATGTCTCCTTATTAGAATATAATGCATAAACTCCGAGGCGCTGGATTGCTTTGATAGACTTGCCTACTTCTCTCTCTGCAGGGCGTAGCACACACCAGACCAAATGTATCCAATTGGCTGGAACAACTCAAGTCTCAGCTGGCTAAAGGATGGGGAGCCAGGCAACTTCAAACACAACTGGTGGGGCTGCTGGTTTGGACTATGGTTCAGGAGTGCACCAGTGTCTAGCTCGCAGACAGAGAACACACTGGAAATGGCAACAGCAATCCCTGGTTACAAAAGGCAGGGAGCTGAGCCCAAAACTGGCTGAAAGGGTTGTCCTTGCCTAGAAATAGCAATCTACTGTTTGATCCACATTTAATCAAACAGTTTCCTAAACCCGGGAGGGTCTGGCCCTGACAGGGTTAATTCATCCCCTATGTACCTCCAGGGAGAATTACAAAACCCGCTCACCTTTAAGGGAGTGCTCAAAAGACACAAGCTGATCATTTGAAAGGCCACAAAGCCAAGGCCTTCCGTGTTATCATCTCCGTGGGGATATTTAGAATAGGGCAGGACAAAACACTAGCAAAATGCAGCATGGGGCCAACCCTGTACAGGCAGGGAAAGGAGCCAGAAACACAACAGTTTCCCATCCCATCCCAATTTCCTATCCTGAAATGCTAGGAGTCTGGAGGCTTTCTCAGGAACGCAAGTAGTTTGAGGCAGGAGTGTGATATTAATCAGTGAGTAACCACAGACAGCGCACATCAGACAGGCGGTAAACAGGAGACAACAGTCAAACTAAATTAGTACCCAATACAACCTTTCAATATTTGTTGCTATTATGACAATCTAGGGTTTAAGGTCAAAATGTAACTTATTCCTTTGGGTAGCAACATTCCCGGGCAGTTCTCTGTAGCACTGCCTTGTAGCCTGCAGCCCCAGTTCTGCTGCCCCAATCCAGCACGGTGCTCTGTATTACCCCCAAGCCAGCACCACACTCTCTATTACCCTGCAGTCCCGAGCACTGCGTTCTCTATTGTCCTGTAGCACGGCTACCCTGAGCCGCACTGCATTTTCTATTGCCCTGCAGTCTCTGCTTCCCCTGACCCACTATGGACTGCCTGTCTATCATTTCCTCTTTGTGAACCGTCCGCAGCCTCTTACACCCCCTTCAGTTTCCGCCCCCCACACTTTTGGAAATTCCCAAGCCCATGCTCATCTATCATGGCTATTATATTTCTCTGGAACTGCTTTCAGCAGGCTTTCAGCCACTGCTGGGCAAATAACCACTCGAGATGGTTAATTCCCTGACTATTGCTTAAGTACTGGACATGCTCTGCTAATTGTAGCATTTCACAGTGGCCCATCACTATAAACTCATTATAATAAGGTCTATCAAAACTCATACAGCCAAATGGGCTTTCGCCATATCTCCCCCACCTCCGTTGTTTATCTTAGGAGTCAACAAAGGGTTCCATAAAAAATATTAAATTCCAAATACGCAATGGACTTGGAAAGCAAATCCAAAATCCCTACCGGGAGCCAGATTGAGAAGCTCCCAGCAGGGCAGACTTTCAAAGCAAAGAGCAAGACTTTAGTTGTGGGATGCTCATTAAAGCCCACTGGAGTCCTGCAGCCAAAATCTTGTGTAACACTCAGAAAATGTGTCCGTGTAATGGCTGTCCTGCTAACTGCATTTCTCATGCGTTAGGGAGCTGTGAGAAGGTCCTATTGTCATGTGGACTGAAAGCTGCAGGATACGGGACTGGCTGCCCTACTTACAAATTGATAATGGACATATTGCGCAAGCCAGGATTCAGAACGAATAGGAGCTTAATCGTGACTCTGTTTGTCAAATCAAGACAGACTCACGCTACTGGCTTCAAGTGCCTGGGATCTTTGTTTATCTCTAATTCTAGTGCTACAGCGACCCAAATATCACATGGGATGGCATTCTTATCACTGCATCTCAGCCATGAAATGCACAGGGAGAAAGATCTGAAAAGTCAACTGCAAAGCAAAAAAGGAATGGGGCAAGGGCCAAGTTCTGCACTTTAGCCCGTAATGCCACATTGATGGGCCACACACCCCCGCTAACCAAACTGCTCAGTGTACAAATCAAGTTTTAACTACTCTTTTAAAAAAATATTTTCTGTCCTGCCCTGCCCCACCCCACCTCTGCCATGAAATCCAGTCTGTGACATTCTGGCCAAGCTGGGAAATGCCAAAGGAGCCCACAGAAAAGTGCAGTTCCAAATTTGGTAAGGTTAATTTGTAACTGCCATCTTGCTGCTAATGGAGTGTGGTGCAGTGGGTAGCCAGGAGACCTGGGTTCTATTTCTGGCTTGTCCACTGATGCGCTGTGTGACTTCAAACAAGTCCACCATCCCCTCCTATGCTGGTCTATCTTGTCTACTTACATGATAAACTCTTGGGGGCAGGCACTGTATTTCATTGTATGTCTGTATCATGCCTGGAATCTCAGCTGAGACTTCTCGGTGCTACTATTGTGTACTACAAATAAAATCAAGCCATCGCAGATTCTTCTTCAACCCTTCCACCAGTTCCCGGCAATCTCCACAGTGCCCTGAAGAGACCACCCTGTCTTGAGTGAAGAGGCAGCTCAGATTCCAGGCTAGCTCAGCTTCAGATCTCTCTTGAATGATGCCAAGTAATGCTGGGCAGTTGGTAATATGGAGTCCTGTCATGTGATGTCAGACCTGAGGCCAGTCAGAGCCAATTTACATAAGACCTCAAAATGAGCTGGGATGGGAGTCTGGGAGATAGGGAATGAACAGTAGATTCATTATGCTAACTAGCCCTCTGCACTCCACTGCGCCCCCCCCCCGCCAATCAAACCACATCCCTACGGAAGCTGGGTCCACAGTAGAATTTCCCACCATTGTACCATCGCATGACTAGATGACACAGTGGTTAAAGTGGTGCCAAGCTGTCCACAGCAGCATTCCCACCGTGACGGCCCCGATGGTAATGCTCGCATGCACAAGGCCTAACAACTAACCCTCACTGAGGTGGTGTCTGTAATTCCCCCTGCAGCTGAACCTTGAAGAGAGTCCACTACATACCTTGTGCCCTTGGTGCGACTGCCCAAAGAGAATCTCAGACACGTCTGAACCATCGAAGCGCCTGTTGGGAGGGAGGCTTGCCTTTGCCAGGGACACCAAGGTGGGGAAAATGTCTGTGGTGCTGGAGCAGAGAGGAAGATTTCATTAAAACATGGATGCAACGTCCTGGAAAAATCCCATCCACACCCTGAGCTTGGAGCAAAAGAAGTTGAGCCTGTCCCCCAGCGAGCCCTTCCCAGGCCTAACAGGAATGTTGGGGCATATGTGGGCCTGGATGCTGGGGGAACACAGGAGTTCAATCCTGCTGCTTATCAAAGCTAATGGCAATTGTGAGTAAGGGCACCCATCCAAGAAGCCTGCCAGAATCCCTAGCCTCTGCGTATTTAATGAAAGAGCCCTGGTAACGTGAGGCACAGCTTGCTGTGGGCATGCTCTGTACGGGAGACGCAATTGCCTTATATGCCATACTGATTAGCATCTTTTTAGGATAGTGAGCACATGTGCGTGAGATGAGCCAGCACGTCTTACACAGATCAATCTGCCAAAGAACACAGCAACTGGAAAGAGCTCAGAGGCCTGTGCCCAACAGCGACAGGAGACACTAAATAATTTCACTACTAAAATATGGGACAATGGGTCAAAATGGGCTATACCCAGCATCCCTGTAGAACGGGGCTGGAGCTGTTAGGGAACGTAGTTTCTCTCGAGGTACTTATTGGTCTTTTCCACCTCTGTAGCACCTGAGCACCTCACTATCCTCACTCAATTTGTCCTCACATCACTCACGGGAGGTTAGGAAGCATTATCGTCACAGACGGAGACCTACGGTCACATAGAGCGTCTGTGGCAGAGATGCTCCCTGGGGCAGGGAGGTCTTTTTGTCCTGTGTTTGTACAACACCTAGGTGCTACCCCAGTACACACAATAATCAGGTGGGATTTGAACCCCAATTCTCCCACGTGCCAGGCCATGCCCTAACGCCTAGTTCATCCCCTCTGCTGGCATGGCTGAGTATCTCCTGCCAGAAAGGAACACAGAAGCACTGCACTCACAGAGGAATCCTTTGGGCCTCCAGGTTCTCGGATACCTGGGAGTCCACATCAAAGAGGAAGCTGGCCAGAGATACTGCAGTTGCGGCAGGGCCACATAACCCTTTATGAAGTTCCCCAGAAAGGTGCCAAGTTCCCTTCTGAAGGGAAAGTGCTAACTCAGTCACTTTTCACTCCAGTCACAGCAGATCCTGTAACCTAGGAAAATGTGGTCTCACTTACGCATCGCACACAGGAACCATAGAAACCAAACTGGAAAATGAGAGCAGTGCTGTTTTGTGCACTTATACCGAAAAGCCGTCAGCATTTCCACCATCATCCTCTCTTTTCAGGGGGTTACAGCTCAGCCACAAAATACTGCTCTGGGCTAATTCTTGGTTACTCCATGTACTAAGATCCTGCTCAGGGTGTGACACACACAGAGGAACAGGCGTCCTGCCACCCAGGAGCTGCACAGTATAGACCCGTAAGGCCAGGAACAGGAAGGGTGGGAGCTTCTGCCTGCTGTTCGTGGACTGCAGCCAACTTTTAATGTGCTGATTGTACATGAACATGGTCTGATGGACTGAGCATGGGATAGGGACCAGGAACACCTAAGCTCTTGCCTCTGCTACTGACTTCTTTTGTAGCCTTGTGGAATTCATTTATACTTTCTAGGCCAAATTCATCACTGTTATAAGCAGGCACAACTCCAGTGAGATCAGCAGCAAATCTAGCTCTCTGCATCTCTGTTTCCCCTCATCTAACCCTCACTTTCTGTAGCTCTGTTTCCCTTCTAATCCTTCCTGTTGTTGGCACAAATATGAATGCACTCCCTGAGGGCCACATATGATTCCTACCATCCTCTGGCGTGGACAGCCACCTTAGCTGCCAGTGAGCATGAGCACCTGGCAATCTAGCATGATCAAAACAAGCTATGCACCGACTCTGGGGACAAATGTGTCCTCCCATGGCAGCCCCCAGTCCCTTATAAAGGAAACAGGATGTCAGCATGGATCAGTGACATTCCACAGAGCTCCCTGGACCACGTGCACAAGGAGAGGAGAAACATTTCATGTTTAAAAGCGCTTCAAGACTTGCAGATGAAAACAACCAGGTAAGAGCCCAACGGTGTTCATGACCTGCTTTGGTAAGAAGCACAGGGGCTTGGGGTTTTAAAGAGGGCTAAAGGAGTTAGGCACTTAACTCCCATTGACTTTCCATGGTAACTGGGAGTTTGGGACCCTATGAAACCTGTAGCCTGTGCTGCTTTGACTCTGAAACCTCTAGCAAGTAGCTTCGAGAAGGCCCCTTACGCTAGGCTCCCACAAGAGTTACAACAAGGCTGCAAGAATCGGGGCACAGGGCTTCCATCGCTGGCGCAAAACAGCAGTGCGGATCAGCAATGAAAGCACCACTCTTTCATCAGCACATTCTCCTCCTCAGGGGTTTATTCTTGAGGCGGTAAAGGGCGTTGGACACAAGAACAGATAACTCCCAGCCCGAGAACAGATGCCTGGAAAACGCTGCGTGTTCTCAAAGGCTCTTATCCCCCGCATGCCTAAGGCACCTGAACAGGGTGGTAACTCCCTGCTTGCTGAAAATCCAGAAAGGTCTCTGTCCCAGTCACAGCACTTACAGACGTATGACGGAGTTGGCCAGGGTGGGAAGAGCTCCTTCGGCCTCTCGGACCTCCAGGCAGCTGGGCTGAGCCAGGTGGGTAAACACCTCCGCTTTAGGAAGTAAACGTTAGCGGGGGGCAGGTTCCACTGATCAGACACAAACCCCACTGGCAGGAGCTCCGAGTCCTGCTGCTGACTCCTTGTGATCTCAGGGAACTAGCTTAACCTGCGTCTTAGCTTACCATGCCCAAGGAAGGCAAAACAACCCTACAACGTCCCTGTCTCACAGAGGCCCTGGGGGGTGGATTGCTACTATTGTGCTCTGGGCTGGAGCAGAAGTGCCATGCCAAGCCGCAGTAAGAGTGCCAGGTATTACAGGGCCCAGGCCTGAACTCCTGACTCAACCAGCACTCCCGCACTCCCACGGAAGTCAAGGAGCATGACTGGACACAACAGGAGTTTTGCCTGAGTGAGCACTTCTGGCCTGGGCCCATTGGTACTATCCCAGTTGCGTGAGCTGGAAGCAGAGGAACCTGAAGCTCCTATTTCTCCGGCTGCTAAGAGACCGAGCAGCCAAACAACGCCGAGGAGAGCAGAAAGGCAGGCTCAGTCTAACACCCTCTCCTAGAGGCTGGCTGATGGGTGAGGCAAGCGAGGAGGCTGTTAAATAAGTCAGGCTCCAACCAGAGAACACTCAGGCCTCATCCCCGGGGGAATCCCACCCAGGCCAACAAGGTTCCATCAACCTAGCGACCGTTGCTAGGGGAGGTGGGGTTCCTACACCAACAGAAAACCCCCTTCCATCACTGCAGGGGGTCGCAGTGCTGTAGCTACACTGCCTCAACGACCGTAGTGTAGACATGGCCTACGGCTCCCATGGAGCCAACCCCGAGGCTGCCACCTGCCTGCAGCTCCCCCTGCTGGCCAGGCGAGCTGCAGATGCTCTGCACCTCTCAGGATCCGGCCCTTAGCATTACCTCTCAGAACAATTTCAAGACGTTATGCCAAAAACGGGTTGGAAACAGCAGCCAGGCCAGTGGAAATGCTCAGAGACTCAACGCTGGAAAGGGACTGTGTAAGGGGAGAAAAGAGGGATATGTGAGAGGGGCACATGAGACCCGTTGGCCATGTTAGAAACAACCACATTTCACCAAGTCACAGCTCTTGACCATGGTCCCGATTCTGCAAAGGGACCTTCACAGCCTCACAGGCAGATGCCTTTGCGGGATGATTTAATGTTTACACAGGAGTGCCCACAGGGCCCCTTCATGCTAGGTACTGGGCAAACTCATAAAACTCTGCTCTGAAGAGTTTACAGTCTAAACTCAGAGCTGGTGCGATCTGTCTTGAAACCACACACGCCTGGGGTTATTCCATGACACAGCTCAGGCTCACCCAGGTTTGTGGGCCTTGAATGGGAGCCAAGCTTTGAGTTCGTAACGCCCTTATTCCTACGCTCTATGTTGCATGTGATACTGTGACTCCAGTTGTTGCTGTCAATCTCTTTCCCCCATCCCCCTGGGAGCAGTCTCCCCTGTGACTGGCTTTTGATCATGAAGGTTTCAGAGTTCTCCGGGGGTATCATGTTCCAGCATCCCCTGCAGATATGAAGTGCAGATCACAGATGTCAGGAGGTTTCATGCTGTAACAGAACCTTTGATGACAATTCATCTTTCCTGTCAATGTTCCAGGTCTTCAGCTCTAACACAAGAGCTCTTTCTTAGCTGGTATCTCAGGATTCAGAGTTCGCTGACTGCTGAGCTGGGAAGACACAAGCTGGACGTGCATATCAAGGGAAGAAGAGACTTCTAAGACTGTTGACGAAACTCCAGCCATGAACCACTCCCCAGCCAGGTCAACCAGCATAAATACACTGCAACAACTCTGCTTGGGGTCAGCTCTAGACTGAAAGGGTTAACAATTTGCACTTTAGCTCTTGTGTCAAGTTACCTTTGGTATTTTGAAGGTGCCTGCAATAAATATAAGGGATGGCACCTCCTTCCCTGGGATGGCAACATCCAAAACACAAAACCCACTTCCTTGGCTAAGAATCAATGCAGCTGTTCCTGACAATTTAGTACACGGGGGACCAAATCTCTCTAGGTGAATGTGCATTTGCCGCTGTGCACAGGGCCGGCTCTAAGTTTCTTGCCACCCCAAGCAAAAAGAAAAGGGTGGCCAGTATGCCACCCCTGGAATTGTGCTGCCCCAAGGACATGCTTGTTTTGCTGGTGCCTAGAGCCGGTCCTGCCTGTGCAATACACATATGCGACCTTCCAAGAGCTGTGTGAAGGCCAATGTGGTGCAAGAGGATGAATCTCAGAAGTAAAGCTAGGAAAATGTGGCAGTACTGAAAGGGGAAGATGCTTTTGCCTACATAACAAACACTCATAAGGAGACCTGTGGGTAAATAAAGCCATTCAAACTTTCTGCTTAGGGTCCATGTCTATTTGAACAACACTGGAAGTTCTGACTCTACAAGTATTTCTTCCAACTCATTGTAGGGAAAGAACCAGGCTGAATATTTCAAAAAAATCAATGAAGCAGAACAGCAAGTAGCTCACAAGGATCCTAGATGACATCATGACAGTAAAAGCCTTTCTCTTTAAGTCCACCTCAAACCATATTTTGCTGATGATGGTACAATGTAGACAGCTATGCAGCAATAAAGAGCTATTAAGCAAGATACACACCTGTCCCTGCAAAAAATACTGCAGAATAGCTTTGCTCAATCTGCAGAATTTTGCCAAGAGAGTGTGTAGTAAAGGATGGTGCAATTTGCTTCTTACTAATCCCAGTGACCTACTTCAAGGCCCTACTTCTGACTAGTGAGGAGAATGGTAAAGTCATGGCAAGCTCTACTAGTTAAATTTCATTAAGCAAAACAGGTTTCAGAGTAGCAGCCGTGTTAGTCTGTATTCGCAAAAAGAAAAGGAGGACTTGTGGCACCTTAGAGACTAACCAATTTATTTGAGCATGAGCTTTCGTGAGCTACAGCTCACTTCATCGGATGCATACTGTGGAAAATACAGAAGATGTATTTGTAAGGAGAGTGATCACTTTAGATAAGCTATTACCAGCAGGAGAGTGGGGTGGGGGGAGAGAAAACCTTTTGTAGTGGTAAACACCCATTTTTTCATGGTTTTGTGTGTATAAAAACATCTTCTGTATTTTTCACAGTATGCATCCGATGAAGTGAGCTGTAGCTCACGAAAGCTCATGCTCAGATAAATTGGTCAGTCTCTAAGGTGCCACAAGTCCTCCTGTTCTTTAAGCAAAACAGTTAGCCACGGCAGATTTCAGTGGAAACAAGCTAGTAGCTGCATGTTTGCACTGGCACACAGGACGACAACGTGTGTGTAAAAGAATATAGAGTGCCTCAGCATGTTTCTGTTCAGTTCTGACTTGCTGTCCACGGCTCTGTGCCTTGCTGTCCACTGACCTAGACTTCCTTCAAGCCTCGCTTAGCACTGCTCTCCCCAGGATAGCCGCACAGAGTACAGAATCAGTGCAGGGCATTCTGAAGCCAGCCCAATGAATCTGAAGGAGCTTCTACAGTATAATCCATAAAGGGTCCGATCCTGCCGGGCTTATGCAAGAAAAGGGCCCATATGTAAATGGGAGCTCTCTGCATGTAGAATTCTGCTGCAGGATCAGGTCTTTAAGAGATTACACTCCACATAGGCCTCCAAACCTCTCTCCACAATGGCCTTCTGAATCACCATCCTTTGAGGGTGAGGGGCAACCTTCATCCACAGAGAGGTTTCCCAGTCACATAAAAATGCTGCTTGGCTTCTTCCCCAATGGGAGCAAAGCCTTAACCTTGACTGCTTTAATTGTGGCTGGAGATTTCACCTCGTGCACCTTCCTCCTGCACTCAGATCCATTGCTCACAACTCCACAGGAACGCTCCATCTCCTCCCAGCCAGGATGTTCTCCCAACAGTCTTTCCCAGCACCATGTAGTGCTGGTTGCATTAGCATCCCTGACCGAGAGACTGGAGTGCAGCCAAGCTAATATACAGGTGTGCCTCTTTCACAATGCAGCCAGCTGCTTGCATTTCCTGGGCTTGGCGTGTTGCATCTTCCCCTCCTTCAAGGTGATCATTTCAGGTAGCACCTATGCTCTCCAATGCCAGTTGGGATCACAGGACTACAGAAGGGAAAGACCCATCCGGACAGTCCTTGGGACCATGCCCTTGCCAGTGCAGGGGACAGAAATACATGGCATGCTGCACAGACGTTAGCTAATGAATCTTGGCCACACCTCTGTGCAATGGAGAAGGTTTATCATTCCCACTTAACACGGGGGTGAAATGGAGGCGAAGAAGGACTGAGGCCAACATTTCCAAAAGCATCCACTAATTCTGAATGCCCAGCTCAGATGAGCTGCTTTATTCATCAGCCTGAGACACTGAGTGCCTGGTTTTCAGATGTTCAAAGCACCCACATCTCCAGCTGGAGTAACTACGTCTCAGTATAAGGCCCAGGGGAGGAGAGTTAATTCCTGCACCAATCTGAGGTGGGCACAGGGACTGATGGGGAGTGTAGCTGGTGGGAACCCTATCCTGGGCCTGGCAAGTGTCACCTCAGCCTGCAGCACAGGTCAGATTAGCCACTCGGGCTGGTAATTTCCACCCTGATTGCAAGAGTCCCTCTGGGCCATGGTAGAAGTGCCACATCATGCCCCCTACCCTTGGGCTCCTGCAGTCATGAGAGAGTAAAAGTCCCGGACACAACAGCTTTGCATCTGCCGGGGGTTTTACAGTTGCCTGGACTGGGACTCAGGAGACACCAATTCAATTCCTGGCTTACTCACAGACTTCCTCTGTGACCTTGGGCAAGTTACTTAGTCTCTCTGGGCCTCAGTTTCCCCTCTGTACAGTGGGGAGAACAGCCCAGCCGTTCCTCACAGGGGCGAGTGAGGATAATATCCATTAGTGTTTACCATGCATTTGGATGCCCCATAAGTACCTAGAGAGGCACCTAAGAGCAGAGGCCTCAAACTGGAAAAGACTGCCTCTGGGTGCGGGCCCAGGCCCCTGGGTGAGCCAGTGGTCATGCTGGGGCACAAGTTCAGAGCAGCAGGCCACACTACCTCTCTAACTTGAGAGAGGACACATCGGCAATTCAGCCAATAACAGAGCTTGATCTCTGCCAGATTTCCTGGAGGTGGATTCCTATTGGTTTAATGACAGCAAAGAGAAATACCCTGCAGCACTGGGAAGACAAAGATGACCTTTCTGTGAAAATATCTGGATCAGATTCTGTAAGAAAGGCTGCTTCCAAAACAAGCTATTGAGAGATCAGAGGACAGGCTAGGGTCCATTGCTGACCTGTCATGGGGAAAAAGAAATCTGGACAGTAAACAACCTGCACTGTTTTGAGTGCGAGTGTCAGGCAGAGAGCCTCACAGGCAGGTCACAGTACAGAGCCCTTCCTGATTGGTAATGACAAAGATTATCACCCACTCATATCCACCTGGTGGTCTCAGTCCCTACCTGACTGAGGTGTCCCGCACTCTGTGAGACACAAATCAGTGTCCTTGTCGCTCCTGCAAATAAGAGAGCCTGAGAAATCAAACTCTCCTGTCACCCCTAGGGAAAATCTCTCCTATGAAGGGGGAGAAAGCTGGCACTGCTGTGGTCTCTACTACACCTTCAGTCCCCAAGGCTCCCAATGGACTGCCTTTAACTGGCATGAACGTCTGGTATAAAACTCCACAGCCTTGGGATAACTTGGCCCTTTACCGTATCTGTTCGACTGGTTACAAAATACCAGGGCTTCACTTTGTTCCACATCATCGTATATACTCCCACTTTTCCTACAACTGCCCTGCCCTTTGCCCCCAGTGTGTGATTGACATTCACTAATGCCCGTTTATTGAGGTATTGATTTACGTCACCACCATGTGCGTCTCCACCGGATGTGGCCAGTGAGTGGAGTTCCCTAAAGACAAGCCGTCAGCCCTTCACTTGCAACATCCTGCCTTTTGTTGGTCTGTGTCACACACTTGAAGTTAGTTATTTAAACCTCCTTGGAGTTTGTTGTCTTTAGATTTCCTTGTCCAAGACTGACTCCCCGTCAGTGCAGAGGGGATAACTGGATGCAGGCCAAGCTAGAGGCACTAGACCTGTAGAGCCCTGCAAATCTGCGGATATCTGCTTTAGGTCCACAGATACCCACGGACCATGTTTGCAGCTCAGATGCGGATACGAACCTTGTATCCAAACAGGGCTCTGTGGATCTGGGCTCATGTCAATCTAGTGACTGAGAACCCATAGATCTGGGTGCCAAATTACCCCAGGCTCCAGACCAGAGTAGCTGCACTGTAGTGCTGTTTGCTGCCCCCAGCATGGTGAGTGCGTTTCACACGACAGTACATAAGGCTGGATTTCCCGCCCCTGGGGCTGTGCGGGACTGGAGAATTTCATCTTTAACAACAACAAAAATCTGGAACTGGGTATTTCTGAGAGCCTGCAAGTGCCCTTCAGCCCTCTCCTTCTCTAGTCCAGCCACAGCTGTGCGCCCTGAAACTCTGGCAGCTTCCTGGAGTTATCGCTGTCAAACCTGCTGGACTGGGTCTGGTAGACCTAAAAGCAGCAGGTAATCCATAGTCTTTCCCTTCACCACTCAGAGCTGCAATGTGGGCTTTACACTCTTTCCTAGAGCATCCAGTCCTGGCTATCCCTTCCCCACCCCACTCCGTGACAGGGGACCAGGCTGTGCAAACAGTTGCTTTGATCAGTTGGAGCAGAGCTTTTTGTGTATAATCACAATTCCTTTCTTCCCTGCAAGGAGGATTAATCTTTGGAATGTTTTGCCTCAGGCTGTCCTGGCAGGGTTCACTGGGCTGGCCCTCAATAAGAGAAGGACAAAGACTTGGATTCCACCAATGCTGCACGATACACACGAGAAGCAGTCCTTCACTCCGGTTTTATCCACAGCCCAGCTTGAGGTCAGGCAGGAACACCCTCCCTTCCCCCAGGCACGCTGGCAGCGATCCTGGATTTTCCTCTACCTCCTTCTGAGCCATTGAGCAAAGGCTCATCTGTCAGGACCAAGCCGACAGATCGTGGTTTGCTTCCCAGTGTTTAAAGCAGAAATGCCAGCAGTTTAACTCATGCCCTGAGAGCACATTACCTGCTTGGGAGAAAGACTATGTAAGATCCAGGCCTCCTAACGCAGGCTCCCAGTCCTGTGCTTAGCTCATTAGACCTCACCTAGGGAAAACAAAAAAGTTTTGTCCTCCTACCTCAACAGTGCAACGCTTGACACATTGGCAGGGATCCTGCCAGGCCAATAAGCCAGTGCCGGAACACGATGTCCCCCTTCCCAGGTCGTTTGCTTGGCTGCACTCCCACCTGGAAGACAGACAGGTATACTCACAGCGGCCCTTCTGCACAGGAGCTTTAGGTTAACCCAAACCTCTCCTGATATAAAGTAAAGGAAATATTCAGCGCCACGGATACTAAACAAATGACAAAGGAGGAGGATTGCATCAGAAATGTGAAGCTAGGTCAGGAAAAAAAAAAAAATCCTGCAGCAAAGTGAATTCAACGAGTAACTTCCTCCCAGCCCCCCAGTTTCTTTAGGATGAAATTCACCCTGGGCCAGCACCAGACCCATGCATGGCTTAAACCCTGTACATTTTGAGTCCTTCCAACATTTGGGGGGGTTAAAAAGGTTACAGAGTTCTTTTTTCAGAGAAGGAAGAGAGAGAAAAGTTAGCTGGATTTCCCACTTTCGCCCTTTCTAACAAAGATTTTGGGTAGGAAAATGGACTCGATGACCCGGAGGTCCCTTCCAGACTAAAATTCCTAACAGTGGTACCTTTTACTTCTCATCTGTTTTGATGAGAAATGGAAAAATTGTAGAGCTGATTTCACAAGACACATAGCTGGGGTGACATTATTTCCATAAGCCTTTGATGTTGTGTGAGAACCTAACACACAGAGAAATGTTTAGCTTGCGGGTACTGCTGATTCGGTTTTGTTTCTATGTGCAGGCCTCAGGGGCTGGCTATGGGGGTGGAGGGGGAGCGGGGTGTACATGCATGTGTTCATACAGTACCAACTGGAAACAACTCCAGTACATGAAAGCTGCACCCTCCAGATTGCTGATGTATACATACAAACACATACCTGCAACTTAAAACTAAATCCCTTCTGACCACATCACAAACAATTTCCCCTACTCTTAATTACCCACTAGTTCATTTCCCAACAAACCTGGGTCTACCTCTAGCAAGGGAGGAAATATAGTCCACTGGCTAGAGCACTAGCCTAAATAAGTCACCAGGACCAGATGGTATCACCCAAGAGTTCTGAAGGAACTCAAATACGAAATTGCAGAATTAACTGTGGCATGTACAGTAATCTATTGCTTAAATCAGCCTCTGTAACAGATCTTTAATTTGACCCTCCGTAGTCCAAATAAAAAGAGGCCCTTGTGCTTTTTAAATAACGGTTCGCTTGTACCAAGTTACAGCTGGGTTAACTGAGACACAGTAAGATCAAGTGATTTGTATACAAACCTGTAATGAGTCATAGCAGGCAGCAGGAGAGAGTCAAAGGAATATTTACTAGGTGTGCTACCCATACCACATATTGTGGTGGCTTTACTTACACAGGAAGCCAGAGCAGCCTTTTGACAGGTTCAGGGTGACATTTGCAGTAGTAAACACTACGCTGAAGCAAAACAAAAGAAACAAATCCACATGGATTTTTCTCAGTGATAAAGGTTGCACAATTGTGTGATGCCATCCAATTACAAAGGTCAAGGCTTTCCACAAAAACTTGACACCAGACAGAACAGAACATTCCCTTGCAAGTAATAACAAATCCATCCCAATGATAGGCCAAAAACTAGAACGTTTCCAGCGGGGAGACTGCACTGCTCCCCCTTTCAGTGCGACTCCCAGGAGAGGTACAAAACAGGGGGAACCGTGCAAGGGGGACACCGTCCCCACATGCCTGGGAGGGGTGATGGTGGGTCCGCTGCTTCCTTCCTTAGCAAATTCAACACACCTCCAGCACCATCTCATGCGTCAGGTGCATCGCCATGGAGACATCAGGGTTCCATTGCAGTACCAGCCCTTCCAGGGGTTCGGGTGTAACAGCTAAGGGCCCACCCAGCCAGAGACAGGGAGAGAGTTTCCCCAAGGGGTTGGGGGCTGCTGAAGAGGAGAGGGAAAGCTTTTATTCTGCTGTGCAGAGCTCATGGAGAGGCTCATCTAGTGACCGAGAACCCATAGATCTGGGTGCCAAGTTACCCCAGGCTCCAGATCAGAGTAGCTACACTGTAGTGCTCTTTTGTAAACTTGCCAGCTAGTTTCAGGCCTCACCCAACCCATTTAAAAAGCCTGGTCACCACAGGAACGACACTCACCACACTGACAGCCTCCCTTGTTCCCCTACACCTCTACCCAAAAAATCCCAAACACCCTCTCCCAAGCAGAGATTTGATCCCAAAAAGGGAGAAGTAGCAGAGACATCATGAAGTCCAGCAGGCACTTCACTATTGCTTTTGATTTTATGTGGAAGGGGCTCAGGTACGACACTGATGGGCGGCAGTCTAAAACAGGCAGACAGATCACATGCTCTGGGGATGTCAAGATAGGCAAACCACGTCCATAAGAACCCAAAAGAGACCTGAGGCAATAGAAGAGAGATCAGCACCTATAGGACTGAGATGCTATAGAACAAACAAAGATATTAGAGTCACATCGGCACTTTTCTCACTTTGAAATATCTATAAATATTCCTTTTTTGCATCCAGTTTAAGAAGGAACCTAGAGGGATTTTAAAAATCACTGCTCCTGACAGGTGTTTCTATATCCTTATGGAATTTCTCCCCTTTCTGTGAGGTCTGGTCTGTAGGGTTGTCTGTGAGCAGTGGGTTGCTACCCCCGGTTTGTTGTTATAGGGTTGATAGTGGGTGCCAGGCTACCTGTTATCATAGGCTTGGTTGCTCATAGGTGTGTTGGGCTGTTGCTAAAGATTTATTTTTTTATTAGGTAAGAAGAGAGAAATACAATCCCAATTTGCTGATTTTTAGGAGGTGGAGACGGAGAGAGGAAAAAATGTGATAAAAAATTACCAAGCAAGAATTGCAAAAAGATGCAAGGAACAGGGAGTGCCCCTTGTTTGGCTGGCCAGGCCCACAGCAGCCTTTTCTCAGAATCCCACAGCAGTTTCCGCCGGGCCTCTACTATATTTGGAAGATGTCAGGAAACAGATGAGGAAAGAGATGTTGCCTCACTCCGCTGCCCCCTCCCCTTCCGTCCTGGAGCAAATGGGGAAATGTAACCCGACACACGTTCACAGTGCGTAACACAAGCAGAAGCGGGAAACACCTGAGTCATGCTGGAGACTTTTGGCAGCTTCTGTGTAAATAATCAAAGCCACCACACAGATGGCTCCCCCGGAGACAGCAAACACTAAAACCCCACCTCCGTACAGTTAGATTTGAGGGCTTACAATGACACACACTTACAGGCCTGATTTCCAGAAACACAGAGCACCCCGGCCCCTGCAGAAGTCAGTGGGAGCTCAGCACTTCCAGGACAATAAAAGCCAAGCTCTAAATAATTCTCAGCATAGTCAGAGCACAGGTCTCCGTTGGGTCACCTCAAGAGCTGGGTGGGCTTGAAGTCCTTGTATATGCATCTCTCGTCAGGGCCATATTATAGTTTTATATGTATCTAGAAGCTAGATTTCAGAGTAACAGCCGTGTTAGTCTGTATTCGCAAAAAGAAAAGGAGTACTTGTGGCAGTTTCCACGGTATGCATCCGATGAAGTGAGCTGTAGCTCACGAAAGCTCATGCTCAAATAAATTGGTTAGTCTCTAAGGTGCCACAAGTACTCCTTTTCTTTTTTCTAGAAGCTAGAGTATATGACACTATAGGTCCAGATCCAGGGACTGTCAGTTAAAAAATTATGTTTGCAACTATTGTGCAATAAGAGAAAAGCTTGAAATGTGAGCCATGTGTGAACAATACCTGCCTGAGTCTGCAGACAGCCTAAGACAATAGCTCCAAGAGGCGCAAACTTCTCCAGTCATCTTAAGATTGCTGCTTCCATAAGAAGTGGTAGGGCCATGGCATGGGGGCGGGGCCAGGAAGCTCCATGGGCATGTGTGTCCAGGGCCCCGGATTGCCTTAATTCAGCCTGATGCCCCATGACATTTTGGGGAAACACCTGCCATTTTGTACTAGCTGGTCCATTCTAAAGGCAAGAAAATTGCTCTTCAGAAATTGGAGCTCCGCAGGTAAATCAATCCATGGCAGAGATGGTGCAGCAGTAGCCAGACAGCTGGGAGTGAACTCTGCCAGAGGCAGGGAAGTATCCTATCTCTCCCTTCTGCTTGGTGGCCAGATTTGAACAAGGGCCTTCCAGGAGCAGGTCCCTCCCCGCTCCCAGCTGGTCACATGTGATGGCTACCAAGATGCTAACACCCTCGCAAGCAGCCTTGTCGGTTACCTCGTTGCCTTTGCCATGCCCCGGAGAATGGGCCCACGTTCCCTGCAAGCTCGCACTTCTGAGCCCAAGGGCCGTTGTCTCCTGGAGGAGAGAGAAACATCTTGGTGAGTAACAGCCAGAGACAGACAAGTTGGACTGAAACACAGCGAACGAGTCAGACCATGAAGGCCATGGGAGAGAACCCAGCTTCCATCCCTAGGGCAAAAACTCAGATCAGTTCCATCAAAATGAAGCGTTACTCTGATTTCCACCTGGGAAACTGAGTGAGAGTGGCCCAATCTCACACAGCTTCCACGGAGCAGATTATCTGGTGGCCTCTCTCAATCGAAGGTGCTCCAGACAGAGCCCCCTGATGTTTAGGGGTAAGTGGGGAGCTGCTGCGGATGATATTTGCTCCCCATGGGGAAGCTCATACACCCTTTAAAGAGGCAACCAATCCCCTGCTTTCCTCCTCTCCAGCACCTGATGGCTTTTTACCTCGGCAGGCGCTTGAATGAGGACTGACTGAATGGCTGACAATGGAGGTTATTTCCAAATAACAGGACCACGTTTTCTCAAGGGGGCTGAACTTCCACTCAGGAGACTGAGTCTAAGACAGGGAGGGGAGAGGGGGGAGGACAATAGCAATTTGGCGTTAATGAGCCGCAGAGCCGGAATGGCAATGAAGCAAGACATCCTCATTAGGGAGGCATCTCAGCAAGAGCGGATTTGGGTTTTTTAATTAACGGGGATTTGAGGTTTAATTTGTAGACACGGATGTCCAGGTTCATCCGCCTGCCTGAAGTGGGGCAGCTTGGGGAGGGTGGGGGGTGGGGAGGCGGTTGGAAAACAAGTTGCCTGACGGAAGGGATCGTTGCTGAGTCTGACAGAGCAGCACGGCCCTGTGAGGCCCAAACCCTGCCTATAAAGCCGGTGGGGGAGTTCAGCCTCCCTAGCAACACCCCAAGGCGGGTGAATCTGACCTATCCAGGCAAATTTACTGCCCCCATCTGCACGGTATCTGAGTGCCAGCGGACCAGCACCTCAGGCAGGGCCTGACCAACAGGAGAATCCAGAGGACACGCTCTGGGGATCCCGGCCTCCATTCCCTGCACCCCCCCAATTTCAAGGGCAAGAGGAGTCCCCAAGTTTCAGGGTGGGCCTGAAAGCCAGTTTCTCGGAGTAACCGTGTTGCTCTCAGTGGTGTCTGCTGGGTCTCACCTGAGGCCAGGCACCAATCAGCATTTTCAACAATCCAGCTTTGAGTATCGCTCTGGGCATGCAACCGACCAAATCTCCTCAGTCCATACTGTGCCTGCAGCTCCTCTTGCCCATTGCTCCCCATCTCCCTGGAACTCCACTTGGCCAGGAGAGGTTTATTCCCCACCCCTGTTGTTCCTTCCCGATATTTTGGATTACATGGGGCTTTCCCATGCTGGTTCTCCTTGCTCTACAGAAGGGCCAGGGAAGGGGATTCAACAAAGACGGCAGGGGAACGTGAGACAGGCAGGCTAACAGGAATGGAAGAAACAAGACCAGTAGAGATCCTGCTTTTGGTTACACTGGTGCCGCAGCTCCCAGTTCACACCAGAATAACTGAGAGCAGAGCTTGGCCTGTGGCTTTAATACTGTTTAACGCAGATGAATACAAAGGAACAGAGTTCATGGAGGATGAAATCCACTCCCCTGTGCAGAGGCCGTGAACAAGTCTCCACCCCCCAAATTAAGCCCCACTTCAGCCCCTAACACAATACGAGGGCCATCCCTAAGACGGCTTCCCATTTGCACATGGATGCCCTTCACCCCTTTCTCCTTCAGCCCTCGCCTTGCCTGCGGATCCAAGCAGTACGTAAATGTCAGTTATCGAGATGATCTGCTGTTACTGGAGCTGGTTTTATTGCTTCACCTGTGAACCAAAGGAATGTGTTTTCCTTCCCGCAGCCGTCAACTTTGTCCTTTATCCGTCCCACCAGGGCATCCATCTCCCTCAGGCTGGCTCGGTATGGCCCAGGGAATGAAGAGCTGGAGGGAGGCTGAGCGAGGACCAAGGGCACGTGCATATGGGCCAGCGCTAGGTATAGGAAGAACGGGCGTCCGCTTTCACTAGACAGGAAACACAGGAAGTGTGTTTAGCACGTTGGTTATGAGAAAGATGTGGGGAGAGTGCAGAGCCTGGGCACGCAGGACAGGGCAGGGCAGGGGGAAAGGTTTTCCACAATCTCTAATGCAGAAGGAACTTTTACAGAAGGCCACCAGTGGGTAAGACACTGCACTGGGACCCAGGAGACCTGGGGCCTATTCTGGCTCTGTCAGAGATACACCGGGGACCCTTGCGCAAGTCACTTCACCACTTGGTACCTCCATTCCCCCTCCCACCGTCCACCTGCCTTATCTATTAACATTGTGAGCTCCCTCTCACTCTGGGTTTGTACAGCGCCTAGGGGCCCTGAACTCAGCTGGAGTCTTGTGGCTTCACCTCATAGGCCTCTGTTCTCGCAGCTGAGGAAGGTTAGACAGAACCTGCTGTGGCCAATCAAAGACGACACTCTTACCCCTTTCTACCACGCACAGCCCCTCATCCTGGGGCTCGGCACCTTGCTCCCAGGACTCTCAGCACCTGCAGCTTGGGAGGAGAGAGCTCCGGGCTGGGAATCCAGCCTGCACCAGGGCATGGCAGTGCTGGGCTCCCTGCAAGGGAGGAGAAGTTCTTGGAGCACAGGACACGGAGCTGGGGGCTAACAGGAGGAGTCACATGAGGCAAGCAAACAGGCTCTGTCCCTCCATGATTTTTGGTTACAGCCTCCTGAGAGAGCAAACCCAACACCACTCAGAAGCAAAGGAAAGGTCCAGATGAACCCAGCCCTGCATCCCTGTTCCAGGCAGAAGCCCCTCTTCTGCAGGAATGAGCAAACAAGATAGGGGATTTGATACAGGGGGTCTCTGTGCCTCAGGTTTAGTACACATGCTCCCCTAGGCAGCGTCTCTTTCTGATCTCTCCCTCTTTGTCTCCAGCCCTTCGGTCCAAAGGCCGTTCAAGGCAAATTATAGTAAGTCCAAAGTCACCCAGTCAGGTACTTCACACTCCAGGCCTGCAAATCTCCCCACTCTCCTAGGGTCAATAATCAGAGCAAGTGCAAGCTACGATCAGCGCGGTAATAAACATGGCAGGCAGTCAAGCCCAGGAAGGGGACCTGTTTCTAAGGGCTGGCGAGCACCCAGCCCTGTATGGGTGCATGGAGTGGAAGCAGACACTCTCTCATGCCATGGGGCAGGGCCCAGGCAAAGCCCCAAACTTCGACACACAGACTGAGGCAGCCTAGCGCAGACAGCAGCGTTGGATTCCCAAACAGGGCCCGGGCAGAGGGTTGACCTCGCCCACCTTTCTGCACTGGCCATTCCTGCCGCTGGGACGGTGTAGCAGGGGGCTGCACACCTGGATTCACTGTGCATGCCTCAGAAGCCGGGTTCTGGCCCTGGCTGGATCAGCCCCGCCTGCCCTCCCACCCTCAACAGGAGCAGACAGGGAGGGGGAGGGATGGAGGCTTTTCGGCAGATAAAATCTATGTGAGAGGCGAAGCACAAGGAAGAGGCCAGCAAACCTGCCTCCCAGGTGGGTTCAAGCAGCTTCGGCACCTGCCCTGGAGTCAAGCAGCTGCACGAAGTCCCAAAGCCTCATTCTTTCCTGTCACTGGGTGAGAGTCAGTTTTTCCCTGGCGCTGTTCATGCATCCCAGAATTTTATTTGCTTTTCCCCCAGTTGCTAAGCGCCTGCTGCATCCACCACCGCTCCTGGCCCCGCCTGAGGAACCCGGGAGCGCGGGGGCTGTTTCCTCGCCCCGATTTCACTTCCTAAGCTCATTTCTTGGCAGTCAGATGCACTCACAGCTTGGCTGCCTTCCAGGCCTAGTCTCTCCTTCCTGGCTGCCTGCAGTCCCCCAGCGATCCGCAGAACAGGTTCAGCAGCCGCAATGCAAGCTTCCTCCACCCTCCCCCTGTCAACATGCCACAAACCTGACCCAAAGGGGCCACACCTAGGGCCTTGCCAGCGCAGACAATCTGAGGGAAGTCTCTGGCTGCAGATCCAGGAGCTCTCTCTCCATTAGCTAGAGCAGGAGTGCTAGCCTAGGCCAGGCACTGCTGTTTCTACCACCACATCCTCTTACTCTGCTCTGGGGGCTGACTCTGAAAACTAGCGCCTCCACTTGGTGGAGCTGTACCATGCTAGGGGGATGGTGGGAGTTTTCCCTCAAATGGTCAGTCCTGCGTAGGAGAGGGCCATTCTGTTCTGTAATCTCGACTTCAGCAAGAATTCCCACGGCTCTGCCCCCCAACCCCACCAGACCCCATGACTGCAGAGTTAAGGGTAAGCGGAATTACAGAGTTTTGGAGGGAGGCTCAACTCTCCTTCCCTTCAAGAGATTCTGGGGCCATCTGAGGAGGAGGATGATAATGAGGTTAGGCCATGAGCTTAAGACTTGGGAGCCCCAGGTTCAACTTCCTGCACCACCCCAGACACCCTGTATGACCATAAGCAAGTCATTGGCCTCTTTGTGCCTCAGTTTCCCATGTGTACGACTGGGACTGCCAAGTGCTTTGCAATCTACTGTGTTTCCCTTTGTTTTCATTCCCCTGCAGAAAACCAAGGTAAGATCCAGACCCCGCTGCATCAGGAAGTAATTTTACAGGATTAAAACACAGAGGGAAACAACCACGTCAGCAGGACAGTGGTGTCTCAGAGCTGCAAACCGCATGCATTCAACTTTTCACAAAGCATGTTTAGAGGAGAATCTTGTTATCAAACAAACCGGGCTGCTGATCGTCCCCCCTTGACGTTTGTTTTTCAATCGCCAGTGGACACATCCTGTTTTCTTGTTTACAGGCTATATTTATCTCCTCAAAAGAGGCCCGCTCTTCCTCAGGGGCCTGTGAAGGGAAGGGCGGGATGACAAGTGATCGGGAGGAACTGGGTCATCCCAGTGACGCGTGTGTGCGCGCGCGCACATGTCAAACAAAGGGCTGGAAGTCACCGAAGGACACTGCAGTCTGCCTCGCTAATTCCCAGCCCTGCAAGTCTGTGCCTCTGTTGCCGAACCAGAGCCTGATCAAATTTTAAAAGATTTAAGATGCTACCATGACTCCAGCAGCGCACGTTTCCACCCTGCGGCCTATGTTTCCTTCCTTTGCCTAGAGCAGGGGTTCTCACATGGGGGGGTCGCGAGCTGTCAGCCTCCACCCCAAACCCCGCTTTGCATCCAGCGTTTATAATGGTGTTAAATATATTTAAAAGTGTTTTTAATTTATAAGGGGGTGTCACACTCAGAGGCTTGCTATGTGAAAGGGGTCACCAGTCCAAAAGTTTGAGAACCACTGGCCTAGAGGACGTCTCCCACACCGAGTGAAAACATTAGTCAATCCTAAAGCTCACTGAATAGCCTTTTTATTCCACAGCGTAGCTGGAGCCAGCCAAAGTGCCACACCCTATTGCACTTTGTTGTTGGGCTATTACATTCCTGTACAAAATTTAGCTGTAATTAAAATATGCATATACGTGTCTAGCCATTACTGCTGTGGGGGAAAAAAATCACTTTCTTTCTGTGGGGTGATGCGATACTGTTTTCCTGAGTCTGCAGGGAGCCTGAAACAATAGCTCAGGGGGAAGATGGGAACCATCCCTTTTATTTCAACAGGGCATCAACCTCTGAAACTTTAAGTAAGGACAATTTCCAGTATCAGTGTTGTTAACTGCTTCAGTGCCAATTGTTTTCACAGACCCAGCCAGCTACTCTGAGCGGGGTCTAAATTGAATTTGAGGCGAATACCGCCATTTTCACACACCCACACCTAGATGCTCTACTCAACAGGACCTCGTTTTCTGAATGGCTTGAAACAGGTTCTAGAAAAGCAATCTCTGCAAACCCAGGTACCACACTGCAGCAAAATTTCACGCAAAACTATTCACCCTTTTAGCACTAAAGCATGTTCACAGTTCCCTTGACTTCATATCTAGGGAATACTGGTGAAAGTAAATCAAGATCTTAGGAGCAGGTCTTTTTGTTCTGTGTTTGTACAGCGCCTCGCACAATGGGACCCAGGACTGGGGCTTCTAGGTGTTACCACAACACACACAATAATGTTAATAATTTAGCCCACTGGAGTTATCAATTGGAGTTTTGCATGAGGGAGCATGTTTGGATCTGGCCCAAACAGCAGGAGTACAATGTTTCTAATAGGAGTTGGGGAAGGAATCCAGAAATAATCGGATTCATCCCCCGTCCACTCAGCTGTGAATCCCGGTTGCCTTTTGCATCCACACTCCATGAGGATTCTGCAAAAAATACATATTTAATTCATAACTCATGGGTGGGACTTTTAGAATAAAAATCCTTTGACTTTGTACCTCTCAGTCCCTCGGTTCTGTGTCCCTGGACGGATCTGAATCTCACTGTCATGAGCTGCTCAGCCTTGACACATCTAGCTAAACAAAGTATAGCCGACACACCTAGTGTTCTGCCATTGTCTAGCAATGTGAGAGAGTCAGGCAAAGAAGAACCATAGCAAACTAAACTATTTAAAAGTTAAGCGGCAGCAGCCAAACTGGACTTTGCCTCTGAACAGCAACCTGTTTAATCCAGTTCTCAGCAGATAATGAAACATTTCCCCCAAATATCTAGACATTGGTTAAAAAGCTTTTCCGTTAACCCTGCATGTGTAAGACCAGGCACAGTGCAGCTGCTTCTAAAACAGTCACACGGGATCAGGGCAGCAATTCAGGGACAAGCCTTCCAAAGGGCACCCATGTTTTTGCACAGGTAGACAGGTGCCCTGATGCATGTGAACCAGCTGGGGGTTAACTACGTGCACAAGCAAGCCTCAGTTCGGGGTATTGGTGCTCCTAAAATGGGTGCAGATACAAGGCAAGACCAGTACTGTAGCAGATTCTAGTTACTCTCACGCCATGACTGCAATGAGGGTTGGATACCAAGGTGACAGATAAAAAACAGATTAGCACAGAGGTAACTGGGGGCAGAAACTGCCCTGGAAAATACATGTTTAAGGTATGTCAATACTACCGCTCCCTGGTTTAGACAACACAATCTGAGGCTGGTCAGAGTTCAGGCTCAGACTTTGTCACTGATGAGTGAGGCAGACCCAGCACTGAACTGACAGGCTCTTCTTTGTGCCTGACAACAGGATGCCAGGGCCCTGCCAGTTTGTTCTAGGGCAGGGGAATGGTTCTAGGATCCCCTTTTGCATCCCCAGAGCAACTGGCAGCTTGCGGAGAAGGATCAACTGCAACCAGCAGTTCCAAGGCTTCTGGAACACAGTTTTGCTTTCTCCTACTGCCCTGGCAGGATCCAGAGGAAGCCTGGCCTCCAGCTCTGACTCAGGGGTGTTTGATCCTGCCCCAGCAGCTGATCTGGTATGAACAGAATCAGATTCAGGGCCAGCCCATGCTACTAGCACCAGAACGCTCCGGGTCTCACTGCACAGAAAGAGGCTAGCTACACATGATATAAATCCCCTTTCCAATCTCTGGCACCAGTATCCCTGTAGAAGGTCACGCCCTGCTCTGACTGAAGTCAATGGCCTGACTCCCTTTGGTTCAGTGGGAGAAGGATGAGATCTGCCACACACAGCTGAACTTTGCACTCTAGTGCTCTTTTGAATTAGGCTCCGCAGCCGTGTCTGTTTGATGACTACTTAGCATCTGCCCAGCCTCACACCATGCAGAAAGCTGGTCTGTAAAAGTGACAGTGACAAACTGATGGACAATAGGAACCGGCTCCCAGTTGAAGGGAGATTCTCAGGGGGCTGCTTTACATCTTTAAAGCACCTTTACAGTAGCCAAGCAGGGCAGAGGGGCCTTATTGCAACAGAGAATCAGGCCCTGAGTGTATGTTCTGAGATCAGTAAAGGGTATGGGCCTGCTTAGCCCTTCAGTGAGGGGTCCTGAGCCAAGCTCACTTACATTGGCAGCAGCATGGGACCCCTGCAGTTCAGCTGTCACCAGCCCTGCACAGATGCCGGAGTGGGGAGAGAGTTCAAACACTATGTGAATCTAGCCCTGCTGTGGTTTTAGGCTCTATCCACACTGTGGGGAGGAGCTGGGTCCTGCCATTGGTCCGCACAGCCCACATGCTATACACTGCCTCCTTTCAAAAGATGCTCCATCAGCCCCACTTTCCCCACCACCGCAACACTTAGAGTCCTACCAGATACAAACAACTGCCCTTATCGCAGATATGGGGTGGCTATTTAATACTGGGAGCTGTCACTCCTCCCAAGAGGAATTCTCCTGCAACCCAGACAGAGCTCTGCAGAAGCCCCCCCCAGCTTGGGCTAGATAAGACTCTGAGAATCACACCAGGCTTTTGCATCTCAAATTAAAAGCTTCCCTTTCCACAGAGCCTGCTCTACAAACAACATTCCCTCCCCCCCCAGTACAAACACACAGCAATAGACTGTGCCCCTCTCTCACCCAGCCTGATAAACATTTCCCCTGGCCTCTCTCCCCACCCATCTCCTTCTGGAGTGCCCCTTTAATTAGGGGGAATAGGAGCCACCTGTTCGCCATCAGTGGCTCCCAATGCAGGAGATGCCTGCTCTTCTCCCACAGAGTCTGGTTAACTCCTGCTGGTGGCTTCCTTCTCCCTGCAATGTGCCTGCAGCTGTCTCCTGCCTGCAGTCTCCCCTGTTGCAGCTCTCACCCTTTGCTACGTCTCAGAATGGGGTTCCATTAACTAGGACAAAAGTGCAGCTCTCTTCCTCTGGAGGGCACCTTAGTCCAGGGCCACCTTCACCAGTGAATTCCTCTCCAGGGCCTCAAAGTAGCTGTAAACCCAACTCTCCTGGCTGGTTAAATGAGGCTTCTTTGCATCACTGGAGTGGCCCAAAGCAGCCAGAGCATATAGGTGACCCTGGCCCAGGGTCTCCACTGGACTGTGGGACCTGCCTGGGAGGTGGTGAGGTCAGAGGGGTGGGGTGAAAAAAGGAGACCTAGGCTGACTGTTGCTGGGCCATGTCCTAGTGAGGAGGTCTAACGGACTGTGGACTGGGCTCCTAAAGGGAGCAAGGGAGGCACCCTTGCAGGGGTCTTTCAGAGCCTGATCCTGTGAGGTGCCCTCAGCTCTTTGGGGAGACCCAAGGGGAATGGTGACATTGGTAACTGCCAACTCAGGGCCTCACAGCCGGCCTGGACAAAGCCCTGCGCTAGCCCCTGCAGGATGGACTCTATAAAGGCCTGTTCCACCTCTAATTTCCATGGCCCCCTGAATCTCCGCTGGACTCACTGGGAGCTTTGCTTATGTGCGAACTGAGGAGGACCCCACTCTGATTGACAGCAGTGGGAATTTTGGGAGGGAACAGAATCGAGCCTTAAGAGCTGCAGTATTTGGTCCAGTAACAACCCTCCCTTTCCTGTGCTTCCCCAGTTAATGCTGATTTCATAGCACGTGTGGCTAAGCCCCCTCTCACTCTCAGAATGCAGCCTGGCCCTCAATATGTCTGTTACATAAATATAGATTAAAAGGCTAGACCTTTCCAAAAAATCTTATCTGTAAGCACACATGACCCTTGCACAGGAGATGCGCTGAAGACAGAAACACTTTTACTTCGAGCCCTGCAGGACATTCTTTTGAGGCTAGCAGCCTTTTCCCCCTTGAAGAGTGCTTTGAAAAGTGACTCCACAGAAACTTTCCACTCCACAGATCCACTCCCTGTACATTTGCAGAGGGAGGTCCGCTCACTCTGATGACACACTTAGGTTCAGTTTCACATAGGTACGTCGGACGCTAATTCCCATATTTCAATAAGAGTTAGGATCGTAAATACCTCTGGGGAGCTGGGCCTAAGACTCCAGGCCTGCAAACTCTCACTGCTACACTCCTGTTAACTCCGGGACAGTGAGATGGTACCATCAACTATTCTGGCAGCAGCAACAGAAATGCAAACTCATTTCCCACTACTACACTGAATTCTGCTCTCAGAAATACCAGAGGGTGGAAAGGGTCAAGCTGGGTCAGAGCGACAAAGTCTGTGACCACTAAACAGACTCCCCTCCAGAACCTGGAATTGAACCCAAGATTCCTGAGTCTCCACTATTCCTCTGCTGGCAGCAAACAGCTGTGAACCCAGGTGGCAAAGTGTGTGCTCTATCCCCCGTTAGTGCTTGCCCACATAGAGGAGGACAACCTACGGCTGCTGTCAGTTAGTCCGTTAGCTCAAGTGGCAAAGGTCTGTGCCGTGCATCTGAAGGTTCTAACCCTGCTGATTACCCATCTAGGGAGCCATATGATTTCACATGATGCCATTTGCTTTTTCAAAAACCTAGGAAATTATACACACACAACATACTCCTGGGGGGCTTCTGAGTGACTGCGCGCCCACAGAAAACGCACACACCCACCCACCTCCGCAGAATTCCTATGCTTCCCTACGGCAGGGAAGCAAAGGGATGCCGCATGGGGGGCTGACCAGGGGTGCAGTTTTGGGGAGGGATTGCGCCACCAAACAGAGGTGAGGCACGGGGGGGGCACATGGGGTTACATGCCACTCCCCCATCCACCCATTTCTGCAAGCGCAGAGCTGCCCAGCTAAAGGAGGCTGGCTCTAGGCTCTGCTGACTTAGCAGCTGAACACTGCCTCCTGGTCCTAGTACCAGTTGAGTTCCCCTTCTGTGTGCTGGCAGCCTTCCTGTTTCCCGTGCAACAGAGAGTGCCAGCAGTGGGGCTGGGTAAGGGCGGGGGCAAAGGAAATGAGGGAAGGGGGTGACGGGGTGGTAGGAAGAGGCAGTGGGGAAGGAAAGGGGGGTGGAATAGGGCAGGGGGGAGGGGAACGTGGGAGCGAAGGGAGGGGGGTAGGGGAATCACGGGGGAAAGCGAGAATCCGGCACGTGGCGTCCTCTCAGCAGCAGCTGGGGCTCCCCCATGAAGCAGGCCCATCAAACCCGCACCCTGACCAGCCCAAGGCAGGCATAACAACAACTCTATTAAAAGACTATTACAGTTGCAAAGTCAAAGACTCTACAGGTAGGAGCTGCCAGAATTTAGACTGCCTGGGCAACCCTAACTCAAGCCCCTTGTGCATACGCATATCGACACAGTCTTTAATGACGTGGTCACACACTATTTTTCCCACCGGGCCCCTGCCTCGGTCCGCGCACAGGATGGGCGGTGCTCCCGGAGTGAGCAGGTATTCAATATTTTTATTTTATCCTCATCGCTCCATATGGCTCATTTACTGAACGCTGCTCTGAAGACAGCATTAATAATTTCCTCATGGGCTTTTCCTGGGTGCTCAGCACTAGAGTATGTGAGTGCTTCACATGCATTACACAATCTATTTTCACAGGCTCTCAAGTCTGTCCCCCATACAATGAGGCACACACCGTTAGTGACCACCTATGAAAAGTCTGGGGCAAGCGGCTTGCCCAGCATCACACAGGAACTCTGTAGCAGAGGCAGGGATAGAATCCAATTCTCCAGGGCAACATTCAACTGCATTAATCATGGGACTATTTTTTCTCTTCGTACAATATGCCTCATTCGCTACACACCTTCCAGCTTCTGCTACAAATGAGGCAGGGGTCCTACACACAACAGTGTGCTTCATTACACAGCCCTGATTCAGCCCCAGAGCACTGTCCATCCTGGGCACTGAATGAGGCAGGGTTCCCTAGTATGTGATCATGTTATCAAACACTGTATTTTAATGGACATGCACAAGGGGATCAAATTAAGGTTGCACAGACAATCCTATTTCGGGCATAGCCTAACTTATGAGTGCTTGACTTGTCAACCATAACCTTCTATTAATGTTGGTTTTTGCATGCAATTTCTGAGGATTTTAAAAACGTGAACTACAAAAACTGCAGTGCCATCACGTGAAATCCTACTTACCGCTCCACAGGCCATCAGCAGGGTGAGGATGTTTAGATCCACCCCCCAGACCTCGGCCACTTGAGCTAATAGAGTAACTGGTAGCAGTAGCAGGATGCCACCAATATTTGGACATTGCCCCAAGCTCTGCAGAGACAGAGCTGCAAAGTGGTGTCTCGGGGGGCAGCCTTACCTTGCGCGCTGGATGAACTGAGTTGCTTTTTCTGCATACTCTGCAGCCAAGCCAGTGAGGTTCACAGGCTGTTGGATGATGGTAATGTTTTCGAAGAGAGGAAGAGCCACCTTGGTGTAACAATCTCTCCCCTGGCTGCTGAAGAGAAACCAAGAGACTCCATTAGTAACAAGAGAGACTTTCTGAATGAAGGTAACAGGTCTGCTTGTGCCCTGACGTCAGTGGGGTCCATTCGCAATGTGGCCCAGTCTCAGTTATTGCCATTGCATTCGTTGTGCCAGAAATCAAGCCTCAATTTTCTCGGGTTTGGCCACACTTGTGAGACAGACAGCCCTGGAGGGGATCTGAACTCAGTCCCTCACCAGCCCCTCCCATTGCGGGAGAGCGAACACATTTTTGTTACCACGGGACCACCAGGAGGCTTCAGCCTAGCTCAGGGCCCCTTGCTGGACACTCAGTAAGGGATAGTCCCTGGAGAGATTATAGTCTCAACAGACAGGAACTGAGGCATAGACAGACTGAGAGACTTACCCAAGATCACACTGGGGGGGGGGGGGTCTGTGCAGAGCCAGGAACTGAGCCCAGATCTCCTGTGTCCCAAACAAGTGTCTTAACCACTTCCCTCCCAGGGACCCTGTTTGGTCTCTGACTTCAGCAGGAGCTGGCCAGGGCCCTTCGTCTTGCTCTCTGGTCACCTCCTCTGGCTGGTGCATGAAGGAGCACTGACAGGTTCCTCAGGGTTTCCTTGGCCTGAGGGAGCAGTGCTGTGATGCCAGGGGAGGAGAGTGAAGGCGCCCCCAAACCAGCTTGGCCCCCCAAACCTGCTGTGTTTTATACACACTGCAGGGTAAGAGGGGATGGCCCCTCTGGGGCCGAGCAAGGGGAGAGGAGACCGCAGCGAACATTCATTCAAACCCTTCATCTTTACAACCCCTGCCAATTTTTCTGTTCCTGGGATCGATTAGAAAACGTTTTCCATTCAGCTCTGACATTTAGCATGAGGGAGATGCCATCACGTGAAATCCTACTTACACCCGCTCCCATCAAAGCCCAGACTCCATTCCACCCCACCGGAGAAGCTGTACCTTGTGGTCGCAGAGTGTCGAGGGCATGCCGGACAGGGAGGGAGGTTGTAACCTGGGGTTTCAGTGCAACCCATGTCGTGACTGTAGGGGATCCCGAAGTAATAGTCGAAACCTGGGACCCAAACAAGCGCATTAGTGTGTCCGCAGCTGCCCGCTGTGGCCATTTGCCTTTTATACACTGTTTACACAGTTGTTGCTGCTGAGTTTACAAACACAAGGAGGGGAACAGGGTCAGTTCTAGGCAAAACAGCTGCTTTGACCAGTGTGTGGGTCGTGACCCAGTACCGGGTCACGGAAGGTAAGGCACTGGGTCGCGGCAGCTCTGGTCAGCACCGGCCCGTTAAAAGTCTCATCCGCGGTGCTGCCTGGCTAGTCCCTACCTGTTCCGACACCGTGCTGTGCCCCAGAAGCGGCCAGCAGCAGGTCCAGCTCCTAGGCGGGGGGGGCCATCTGGCTCCACGCGCTGCCCCCACCCCAAGCACCAGCTCCGTACGCCCGCTGGCCAGGGGGCGGTGCCTGCGGGCAAGAGCCATGCAGAGCTGCTTGCGCGCCTCCGCCTAGGAGCTGGACCGGCTGCTCGCCGCTCCCAGGGTGCAGCGCGGTCCGTGGTGCTAGGACAGGTGGGAAGCTGCCTTAGCAACCCCGCTGTGCCGCTGATCAGGAGCCACCGGAGGTAAGGCCATGCCCCAACCCCATGCCCCAATCTCCTGCCCCAGCTCTGAGCCCCCCCTCAAACCCAGAGCCCCCTCCTGCATCCCAAACCCCTCCTCTCCGGCCCCACCCCAGAGCCTGCACCCAGAGCCCAGACCCCCTCCCACACTCCAAACCCCTGCCCCGTCCTGAGTCCCCCCCAAACCTGGAGCCCCTTCCTGCACCCCAAACCTCTCATCCCCAGCCCCACTCGAGCCTGTACCCCCATCCCAGAGCCATGACCCCCTCCTGAACCCCAACCCCCTGCCCCAGCCCTGAGACCCCCAAACCCAGAGCCCGCTCCTGCACCCCAAACCCTAATCTCCAGCCCAGAGCCATGACCCCCTCCTGCACCCCAAACCCCTCATCCCCAGCCCCAGCCCAGAGCCTGCACCCCCAGCCCAGAGCCATGACCCCCTCCTGCACCCCAAACCCCTGCCCCAGCCCAGAGCCCCCTCCCAAAGCCTGAACGCCTTATTCCCGGCCCCACCCCACAGCCCTCATCCCCACACCTCACCCCTCTGCCCCGGCCCTGAGCCCTTCCCACACCCCAATCCCCTCATCCCCAGTTCCATAGGGTCATGGGCATCAACAATTTTCTTCAACTGGGTTGCCAGAAAAAAAGGTTTGAAAACCACTGGCTTAGACACCTCTCCTTCACACAGACCATGCAGGTGAATGCTCACACCCATGGGGCTCCAAGGAGGTCTGACTGAAGGTTCAGGGATCTAGCTCATGTTATAACAGGACAAGGATCCATTGAGACTTCATTGTTTGTACTTTCCTGTGTTTTTTTCCCCAACATGGTCCTCTTTTTAAAGGACTCTACTATGGAGTTAATGGGGGGCTAGACCGAGTAAATAGCACAAGAAGAGGGACTCTATTTTAAGGACAAATTGACCGCAGCGCTGGCCTTTCCTCCAAGTGAAGATGGACTTTTGGGGTCAACTCCACCCCAGAGATAACTTCACCAACCCCAGTCGGAGCAGCCCTGAGTATGAACTTAAACACAGGGCAATCCAGAGCACAAATATCCCCTACTCCACCTCGGCTACCAAAAGGAATTCACACCTCATAAACTGCGGCCCCCCCACTCTGCAAGCCCATGGGAGCAGGGCAACAGGCATTCCCACCCAATAACTAGAGCTACTCCCTCCACGGGGAATTCAAGTCACTGACCACCCCGCAAACCCCTCCTGCTGCTGCGGGAGAGGGCAGCAGAACTCCTCTGGCAGCTAATGACCTACAGGGGGACTGACAGAGGAGCCTGCTCCTTGCTTGCTCCTCCCTCTCTGAGGGCAATTACCAGGAAGGAGGCGAATGGGTTTAAAAAGAGAAAGGGACAGTGGGAAACAAAAACCCATGCTGGGTTTTACAACAAAATCTTACCACGGAAGCTGGGATGATAGAGGCCGCTATGTCCGAGGTGCCATTTACCTGCGTGGACGCAACAGGAAGTCTTTTCAGAAGGTAAACTTCGCAGGTACTAGAAATTACATACAGTGTCCAGGGCCTGACATTTTAATCCAGCAACAAGAGTCGCTGTCTTTGCAGGGCCTGTTTAAAGCATGCCATTTTGCCAAGGGATCCATTCCATAAGGGTGTTAGATCTCAGAGGAATTTCATAAAACAATTCTTACGTTTTCTCAAGTCTCGCTCATCCTTAAACCCTTACCAAGGTTCTGCCAGACATTCAGTTTTCAAAGACAAGATATTCTAAGAGGTTCTGAATGGTCCATTCTTGGCTTCCTCCTCTGAACTGCCACATATGTGTTTTCGAAGATCAAGCACTATATTCTCAGGCCCTACCACAATTTGGCCCCACATGATGACCAACAGTTTAATTATGAAGCTTTAGCTATTCTGGCCCATATCCTGCCATAATTTTGCATGCAAAACCACCTTTGAAGTCAAAGAATAGTTTTGCATGTAAGTCAATGTAAAGAAATGGCAAACTCTGCATTTAACTAACTGAATTTTCCGGTTTTTGTGACTTTCTTTCATTGCATTTCAATGGCTCCGAATGAAAGTGTATGTTTTATTCATTACCCACAGATGACTGATCTGATATACTAGAATGACTTCCTTGGAAGTTGGTAGAGCGCTCCATATGCTTGCAGTGGATATATATATTGATATAACACATAACATAGCTTTTCGTGTTAGCACAGGGTATTATATCAAGGAATATTTGGGTCTGTGGGCACAGAACCATTCTGCATGCTAATACTTTGATTAAATGTTACTATATGCAGGAAAAAACACTTTTCTGAAGTTAAACAATTCACACATTTATATTTTGGAGGGAGCCAGAAGTTTAGTTCACATCATGATGTAACCACCCAGAAAAATACACATTTAAAAAGGCAATTTTTTTAAAAACATCATAGAACTGCAAAAAGAGAAAGAGAAAAAGTGAAAAGTCGGAAAAAAAACATCCTTTAAGTTCTTCTTTAATGAATGCACGGGTTTCAGTGTAGGGAAAAGAATCCCAAGCAGAGGATGGGCGCCTATATATATTTTCACAATACTGAAGAAATAAAAATATAGATAGATAGATAGATAGATATACAGGCAGAAAGTACTCTGGAGAATATATATTGGCCGAATGGTCCAGGGGCAGCTTGAACCACATAGTTCAACCTGCCCCTGGACCATTCTGCCAACGTGCCTCAACGCCAACCCAGAAGGGACCAATCCTAGAGGTGAATGAAGAGTCAGTCTTCACGGCGTATTTCAAGGTTTGACTTAGCTGCTGTGACTGCCAGCAAGAGTGCTGGTCATTTAGTGCCAAACGAGATGATATTTCTCATGACCTAGACATGACCTAGACGTGATGCTCAAGCTCCCTCCGCTGAACAGCCATCACCGTTATTTAATGCTTCTATTACAGTAGCACTCCAAAGCCCCAAGCAGAGTCAGGTGTGCAAGGTGCTGCACAGACCACAGAGGCAGATACAGTCTCCACCCCCCCCCCCGCCACCCCCAGAGTGTACAACCTAAGTGATAATAATCACTTGCAGCCACTCCCAGCGTCGGTTGGACCTGAGCCAACAAATTAGCTCCATGGTCCATCCTGTGTCCCTTGAGCAGAGGTGTTGGAACAATCTTTATGGAGGGGGCTACTGAGAGCCATTGAACCAAACTGTATATAATGGAAACCACTTCAAGCCAGGGGCTGCCACCTCCAGTACGTCTGTTCCAGCACCTATGGCCCTGAGCCCTGTCTACCATTGTCTACATAATGAATTGCAAAACAGAACAACAGTGAGCTTTCTGCAGTGCATTAATTACCTATTACCCCAGTGATGTATCCTGCTTCCTTCAGAACCTCAGCTAACGTAGTCTCATTGAGGGGAGGCCACCCACTGATGTGACAGCAAAGTTGTGGGTCACTCCATTGCGAATGCCGAGCCTTCCTGTGAGCAGGGAGGCACGGGATGGGGAGCAAGTGGATGCAGCAGAGTGAAAATCCACAAATCTAGAAGAGAAAGAGGCAGAACGTACCTTAGGATTTGTGACTGGAACGTCTGACAAAAAGCTGCAAAAACTACCCCTGCTAGCTGGCAAAAATTGACATGTTCCCACATGCTGGGCTTTGTTCGAGGAGCCCAGGGCTGCAAACAAACATACACATAGACTCATAGAATATCAGGGTTGGAAGGGACCTCAGGAGGTCATCTAGTCCAACCCCCTGCTCAAAGCAGGACCAATCCCCAACTAAATCATCCCAGCCAGGGCTTTGTCAAGCCAGGCCTTAAAAACCTCTAAGGATGGAGATTCCACCACCTCCCTAGGTAAATGGAACGTGATTGCCATTCACTTACCACAAGTGCAAATGGCATATTGTCCATGTTAGTGGCCAGTGAGATGCTCAACTGCCTGACGATAGCTGAGTTCTTTGTTCAAACTGCCATGAGTCTATCTGGGTTTCAAATTGCCACCCATCCCCTTAGCATTTGAGCACCTTCTGCACAAAGGAAATTGACAACAGTGAAGCCCTGAGTGGATGTCATGGTGTCTCTTGCTCTTCTCCCTCTTTGGGGCATGGTAAGCTCTGCTGGGTGCAGAGTGTGTTTTGGAGAGGGAGTAGGAACAGGGAGCGGCTGATGCTGGGAACGTCACTGTGATTATATGGTGGAGACACTTTATCAAGTAGGAAGGTTCTGCAGGGTTCCCGAAAGCCCATCCGATTCCAGATTCATCCATAACCAGAGCCCTTCAAATGAGACGGATTTGTCACTGGCTTTCACGCGCTTCATGATCTGCATTGTTCCAAAGGAGGGCAACTGTCTCAGCAGTTCATTGATGGAGCTGTGCTCTCTAATGCAGTGGGGAGCTGCTCCATTAAATGCTTTGAAGAGGAGGACCAATGCCCCGGCCTGGTGGCAGAAGTGGACTTGATGTGCTCCCCACAACTTATACTCTAGAGGAGCTGGGCAGCTGCACTGTGTACCAGCTGGAGCCTCTCTCTTGGTTCTCCATTCAGAGACCGGGAAGTGCTGTGACCCAGCCTGGCGGTGACGGGGACACAGCTCTCGCCCAAGAGGAAGGGAGGGGGTTCCAAGCGAGGCACAGGCAATCAGATGCACAAGTGCAGATGCATTTTTCAGTGTGGCCCTGGGCATTTCAGTCCTTAAATATCAGGCCCACCACTTCCCTAACCCCTACTTTGTATCTTCACAGTCAGACCATTCTCCTCACACCCACAACAGCATTGTGAGAGACTTGTCTTGTCTGGAATACACGGCTGGGTCATCTCCTTAAATTCTATTGTCTATTCCCCATCGCCAGAACCAACTTCCCTCTGCACCAAGGACCTGATACTGGAAACTGTCCCAATTTGGGACACTTCAGCATGTGTTTAAATTCCACTAAACACTCACAGATTATATCGGAGCCCAAGATCATACTTATCTTCCCCCCAAGCTTTCTGAGGCCTTTCTCAAGCAGCCAGCACTGCTCCTCAGCCTGCCTTGATCTGAGGCTGTTGTCCCACTTCTGGTTAACCACACACTGGCTCCATCGGTCAGGTTTCTCCATTTAATTCTGGGAAATCATTCTCTGAGCAGCCCCAGCTCTGCACAGTTCCATGCACCAACTGCCAAATACCCCACAGGACTGAAATCCTAGATAAGAACCTCAAAAGGACAAAGCACTAGAAAATATATTGCAGGGAACAATCTAGCAGTCCTGGGGAGAAGGCAGGCGAACTACAGTACCTGATCTAGGAGGTTTTTTCTATCTCATATAGGAGCCAGACTGGAATTGCCAGACTGGATCAGACCCCTCATCCACAGAGTTCAGAATCCTGTCCCGACCGGGCCCACAACCAGATGCTCCAGAGGAGGGAACAAGGACCCTACAATAGGAAGATGTGAAATGCCCCCATGAAGGTCTCACCCTAATCCCTAAATAGCGAGAGTGGGTGATTTAAACCTTGAAATATGCGGTTTTATAACTGTAGTGAGGCAGTGTGGCCTCCCTCCAAGCTAGACGGGGAGGAACCACTCTCTCTGCCCGGGTGGGCAGGGTCAGGCCGGGCTCGACTCTCCCACCGAAAGTTGAGAGGCAGGGCAGGAAGTAGAAAAGGCGGAGCCCCTAGCTCCATTGGAGCCGAGAGAGGACCGAAGCCGGGGAGGAGCTGGTGGGACTGCCGGCAACTGAATACCCCAATGAAGCAGAGGATCTTGAGACCACGGAGCCCAATCTGGAACTCTGGTAGGAAGCAGCCCAGGGAAACCAGACTTCAGTTTGGTGGTGTTGTGGCCTAACAGCTGGTCAGCATGTTGCGAGAGGATCCCCGCTGACCCAGCGGCGGGACACCCCGCCACTGTTAGGGCCCTGGGCTGGGATGCAGTGTAGTCCTGTGGGCTTGTTCCCCCCTACCCCGGGATGGCAGACTTCCCATCATAGAGTGCTTGCTAGCTCTCCCCTGCCTAAGGGTTAGAGCTCACAGACTGCTTTATTGCGCTGCCTGATTACAGGCCTGAGCCCACAGACTACTCATTAGCCCAGCCCTGCCCAAGGGCCTCATCCCTCTTGACTATTAGGATCCCACCCTGTTATGAAGGCTGGAAGAATAATGCCCTGACACTAGGCCGTGATCCCAGTGACTAGTGAGGTGGTGTGGCCTCCCTCTGACCCAGAGGGATAGGGACGACCGCAACACCGCTACACTAACCTTTCTAAAACAGGAGTTAATGAACTGGAGAGAGAATAAATTGTGCATTCTTGTTACCTAATCCTGGCCACATATTAAATAGTTAATGTTTGGGAACAGCATTGAAAATGTAAAGCTCTGTGCAGATGCTCAGGGTTATTGTTACAATGCATTGTATATCCCAGTAAAAAGGAATATTAAGATCATTTTCCAGCTGAGATTTCTCTCTGGGTTCTACACAAAAAGACATGGTATGATTTCCTCCGCAATTACCATAACTTGTATTTATCAATGTCCTTAAAGACAAGACTCGTTCATTTGAACCAGGTCCTGCCTCTAAATATTTGCTAAAATGAAGAAAAGTCTTTACTGCTAGGCAATTGGTTCATGCAAATATTTGTCTATCAGCTGTTCCTAGGCTGTCAGAACCCAGGTTCTCTGCCACGCTGGTCTGAAGTTGACCACAGTCAGCATGAAGAACAAATACGTTGCAAACAACCAAAGTTCTAAGCACGGATGCTATGTTCACTGATTTCCTGTGCATCTGGGCAGGTTTTCCAAGGCAGTCCTAATGCTTATTCTTTCTTGGGTCACCACCTGCACCTTTTGGGCTTGCTGCTGCCTGCAGACCAATGCCATAAATAAGAAGGATACTGTTCACTTGTATCACCCCTTCCTTTGGCGATTTCAGAGGTTTAACAGACACTAAAGCTGGAACTGTCAATGAGGCCTATGGAAGCTAGGTGCCCATCTCCAAACCCGCCAAGGCCCCTTTGAAAATGCCAGCCTTAAAGCTCAGCCTCGCAACCCCTGTGTGAGGTAAGGGAGCATTATTATCCCTATCTTGCTGAGAGGGACACTGAGGCACAGGGTGGGAAAAGATACTGCCCAGGGTCACCCAGAGCTGGGAATAGAGCCCAGAGCTCCTGATTCAGCTTCCTGGGCTTTAACCACCTTCCCCTTCCTCCCCTCCCCTCAGTTTCCCTCCCCTCCCCTTGCCTCCAACCAACTCATGGGAAATCTGCCTAATTCTGAGGCAGGTGCAATATCTTTTGGACCTTCATCCTACAGGCCACTGTAGCAGGCAGGGTTCCCCCAGTGTCCTGCCCAGCCACACCCCATTGGTGGCGCCAGGTCCCTGCTCTTGCTATTTTGAGGGCATGAGTGATATAAGTGACACACGTGCCTCCGTAGGTGTGGGGTCTCAGCATAGGATGAATTAGACCACGGTAGTCCACAGCATGGTTCTCACATGGATCTCAGACAGGATACACTGGCACTTACTGTTGTGATTAAGAACTAGTGAGAACCTCTGTCCATTTTACTGTTGCCCACCGGCCATTTGGTATCACACGCCAGGTAAATGGAAGACTCAGAAATAGACAGACGCCTCTTTGAGGCTTACCTCATTCCTTCTGCAGCCATCTGATCCAAGTTAGGAGTGTCCTTGGTTTCTGCCCAGTTGGCCCCAAGGTCCCCCCATCCAACATCATCTGCCAAAATGACTATGAAATTCGGCTTGTTCTGAACTGATCTCTTCTCACCCACACAAAGATCTGAGAGGTGATAAAAGAGCCAACCTAAACAGCCAGCCAGTAGCAAAAGCATTTTCAGGAACAGAATCTCCATGGTGTCAGGAGAATGCCTCCTGGAGACCTTTAGCGTGAGTGAGTAGGTGGTGGTGGCCTATTCCTGCCACACGCTCATTTGAGAACTCCCATTGTCGTGCTTTCCTCAGCCGTGATTCAGCTGTTTATTGCCACCCAAAGCAGCCCTAGGATTCTGCAGAGACGCAAATTTCACATCTTTGCATGGCTCTGAAGAGACAAGTTACAAAACTGCAGTATTGACTTTTGATCATTTGGAGATCGACTGAACCATAATCTTCCTCTCTCTTTTCCATTTGCAAACAGCTGACATGCTAAGTGAGATCTTGTAGGAAGTCACAATAATCATATTGTCATTTAAAAATTGTGGGGTTTTGCTAAATATGCAATTCAAATAACGTCTTATTAATATAAAGTTTACTTGTTTTTCCAAAGCTTCTTTATCCTGATTACAAACCTTCTGTACAGCATCCAATTTTATAAATTACTTAGTCTCAGGACGCATGGAATTTAGATTACCGATGTCTACAGGAAAATTCTCTATTTGGCCTTGTAAAGTGATGTTGTCCATTTCTTCAAAAGAATAGACAAAAGTTGAAGTTAAATGATGTTGAACTGTTCTTTGAATTCCATAAGGGGGACACCTTTACATTACAGCAAATGTTCCTGTGCAAGAAAAACAAGAGACAATTAGCACTGGAAAGAGTTAAGCTTTAAACCTTAGTCCTAGTGAGCATAAGAATTGTTTTTCTATTGCACAGACGTTTCCTTTGCTTTTCAAACACAGCAGCTGCAATTTTGCTGTCAAATTTAAGGTTGCTGTAACTCAACTGATAACTACTCCAAAGCCTGGAAACAAACACAGTGACCATTTTCCCTAATCACCATATATCAAACATACAGACTCTGATTGTATAAACAATCAAGCCTGACTTCTTCCTATAAAACTAGGAGCTGAAGATCACTGGAGAAGTAATTTTGCCTAGATTTGCAATGTGATCTCAGATTTGATCTTTGAGCATGAGGTCATGCGTTCAAAAAAGAATTAGATAAGTTCCTGGAGGTTAGGTCCATCAATGGCTATGAGCCAAGATGGTCAGGGATGCAACCCCATTCTCTGGGTATTTCTAAACATCAGACTGCTAGTAGCTGGGACTGGACGACAGGGGATAGATCACTTGTTAATTGCCCTGTTCTGTTCATTCCCTCTGAAGATCTGGTACTGGCCACTGTTGGAAGACAGGATTCTGGGATAGATGGACCATAGGTATGACCCAGTATGACCATTCTTATGTTCTTATGTCATAGGGTGTTACTAATCTGCATTACAGACAGCAAACAGGCAGATGAGATTGATGTACAGACTTTCCACAATTTTTAATAATTTACAAGGACTAAGGTCAGTTAGTAAAACTCAATTTTAAAAATTAAACTTTATTTACACTGAATAGACCCACTCCTCATACTGAGCCAGAACATGCCATGCTTCCTCATCTGGAATAGCAGCTTATCCCACGAGTAGTCCTGTTGATGTCAGTGGAATCACTCAAGGAGTTCTCTACATGAGTAAGGGTGTCAGAATCTAGTGCACAGAGAGCAGCGCTGGGCTCATAAATACAGGGCAGGGCCGGAAAGGCTGGAGAGAAGGCAATGTAGTAGCTGTGTGCTGATGGATTGTCACGGAAATCAGTGTGCTTGCATGGTGGAAGCTGGGGGCAGATTTGGTCCAAGGCGGTTATAGGAAGGTACATAAGGCAGAACTAAGGGACCAAATGCCTGTAGGGCTGTCTAGAGAAACTGCCTGGAGTTATAGTTGGGGAACATGTTGAAAGTTACAATTTAACTAAACTAATCCGCCAAGATTTACCAAAAAATGAGCTGATGCCTAAGAAATCAGTGAATTTCATGAGACAGTAACAAGAAATGAGGTGGCGGGAAGCTCGTATAATTTACAGGACTTCAGGCTGTTTATACAAAACCATCAGCACAAGCCTAATCTGCAAGGACAATAAGAATGATATCAGAGGGTGAGACATTTGAATGGGCAAAGAACTGGCTTGAATATCAAATACAGAAAGCACTGAGTATAAGCAACTTGAAGTGGACAGAGCAAGCTAGCGGAGTCCAGCTGGGGCCAGTATTATGACAGATGTTTCCAGTTGTGTATCAGTGCCCTTGAGGAAAGAATGTGCAGCTGACAATACAAAATTTGTGGGTCAGTCAACACATCTGAGGAGGGCAACAAAATTCAGAATGATCTCGATAAACTCGTAGGAAGCGTAAATAAATGAATAATCAAAAGCAAAAAGGACCATGAGATGCAGGGTAAAAAGAGAGAAAACACAACAAGCACCATGTGTAGGTCAAGAATTCAGCAGCTGGCAGTGGGAAATTAGCCATCAATTCATTATTAAGTTTAAAAAATCTTAGGACTTCAGTTCAGATCTGCAGCTTTCTTTAGTCTTCTAACTTATAATGAAAAATCATCGTAATAAATATAACCTTGTGAAGTTATTGAACACCTTTCATCTGAGGCTCTCAAAGCTCTTTACAGACATTCATTAATGAAGTGTGTGAGGTACAGAACAGACCTTCAGATGCACAGACAATCTAAGTGATTTTTCCAGGATCACACATGAGCCACTGTCTGAGCCAAGAATAGACCTCAGAAGTCCTGACTTCCATTCCTGTGCATTAACCACAAAACCACAGTCATTCCCTCATGTATTACCCTACCAAAAAGAACCTGTATCAGACAGAGAGCTAGATTAGATTGGTACTAAATTTCCTTCATTTCTGGACAGAATTCCCATTGTAGTGAAACAGACTTATGGGGGCAGAATTCCTTTAGAAAGAAGAGCTTCAGAGAGGTAACCGTGTTAGGCTGGATCTGTAAAAGCAGCAAAGAGTCCTGTGACACCTTATAGACTAACAGCCGTATTGGAACATGAGCTTTTGTGGGTGAATACCACTTCGTTGGATGCATTGGAGCTCATGCTCCAATATGTCTGTTAGTCTATAAGGTGCCACAGGACTCTTTGCCGCTTTTAGAAAGAAGGTTGTGAACGAATGGGCCCAAATTGTTCCCTGCAGGGCTCCCTTGATGAAAGTTATTCTTAGTCTCTATATATTTCCCAGACAGATTTTACTGGTTTTCCTGTTATCAGTCTCTGGGCTGGGTTGGTTGTTTTAGTTAGTTTTTTTCCTCCTAATGAAAAGGGAAGCATCTGAAATAAGTAGGGACAGGATGCTCTCTTTTCTCAGGTGAAAACTGTTTGCAGGCTGATGAACACTGCAGAGCTCTTTAAATATTGCCTTGTGTACACAGAGAAACATCCCATAGTTTGCCAACTTCCACTGAAAAAAAATATTCCCAGAATAAAAGAAATAAAATAAACCAATTCTTATCACCTTTTCATAAAATGACTCTGGTTCCAATCCAGCCCAAGGGATTGATCCAGCAAACACTATCAGGTATCGCATTTGCCACTATGAACAGTTCCTCATGGCGTAACCTCCACGTGCAAATTTGCCAACACCCAAGTGTTCCAGAATCTTGAGACGGGCTTTGAAATCACAAGATTTTAAAAATTAAAAAAGGTGAGGAGGGGGTTCCTGTTATTTGCTTTCTAGATTTTGAGCTCTTCGGGATCACTTTTTCAAGCTTTTTCCACAAGCATGAGGGCTAGGCTTGTGTTGTGACTTGCAACAAATAGTTGGACTATTCTTTTAGCCATTTTCCGGTTTTCGTCCTGTGCTATCCTGGGTTGTGAGCGATGGTCAGGCCAACGCAAGAGTCTGTGCTCAGTGTCCCGGTTTATTCTGCTTTATGTGGCTTGTTTGGAAGGAGAACTTTGCAGCAGTGTATTAGGGGTGCTAGCCCTTGTGCCCTGTAGGTGCGGTATCCCTCCACTTTGGCTGGCTTGCCCTAGAGTAATAGAGGTACTGTCGGACTCCCTACTCCCTGGACGCTAGCTCAACACCTTCTCAGCTTGGTAAGACCTGCCAGAGCGTATGCTCTGCCGTACTTCGCTGTCAAACCCCATTCACCCCCACACCAACGCTCTGTGATCATATACCGAATGAGAGCAGAAGGCATACAGAGGTGACTGATGTATGCAGGCAATGCACGACGCAAAGCAGAGATGGGCGGGGTTATGTAGTCCGCAAACAAGACAATAGGTGGACAACCCGCATCAGTGACTGCATCCCCAGAGACCACAAGCGACCACTGGGCAGACGGAAAATGCGCTGGGCCAATCCCATGATAAAGCATGCTCGCAACGAAACAGAATGGTGTGGCGTCGACTTGCATTCGTGGAGGGACGGACAAGGACAAGCTGGACAAAAGTGACAAATGCTAGAGACTTATGTTTTTATTTAAAAAAAAAGAAAGCTGACATTCTCATGTAATCCAATGACATTCTCATGTAATCCCATGACCCCAGAAACATGTCTACACTAGAAAGGCTTTGCTGGTATAGCTACACTGGTATTGTACTAGCAAACCCCCCTAGTGGAGACACAGCTCATACCAGCAGAAATATTCTTTTGCCAGTACAGCTTATGCCATTCCCCAAACAAAATAAGCTACCCCAGCAAAAGGACTTTTTTGTCAGTATTCCTGTATCTACACTCAAGTATTTTTGCCATTTTACAAACGTCGTAGAGAATCACATCCTAACCAACATTATTATATCAGAACAAGTATCTAAGGTAGATCTGACCTAAGTGTTTGGAAGATTGGGGTTCAGAGCAGCAGCGACTGAAAGTTATTAGCCTGTGCGGGCTGGTTTGGGGTCTATATGAAATAAGATGGTGTCCCTCTTCCAATCCCCAATAATGGGCAAGTGTCCACTACACAAAAAAACAACTGACCTTCTTGATCTCATTTACACTGGTGTAAATGTGGAGTATTCCACTAACTTAAGTACAGTGACTCTGGATTTACACTGAAGTAGCTGACAGCAGAATCCTGTCCCTGTTTGACTCCCCTTTCGCCCATGGTCCCTTCCAAAGGTGTTCCCTACAGAGCAGGGTGGCACATTGGCAGGTCAATGCTAGGGGACGCTGGCACCAAGGCTGCTGTGGATACACCTGTTCTACAGACAGAAGGCTCTGGTCTCCAATGCACGTTCTAACACCCTTCAAAATTGCTCCATTCCGTTTTTTTAAAATGGGGGTTTTTTTTAAATATCTTGAGGATTTTGTAACCACTTTTTTAAAAGTCCATGGGAAACTCGGTCACACTCACAAAACGCCTCTTCTACCATAAGCAATTCTTAAACTATATTTGAGTCCTTATTGGAAACAGTGCCTGTCCTCCTCAGAGAGGAAGATCACGTTGATACTATTGTAAAAGGACTGAACCAAGAAATGTAGTTTGTTCAAAGCTGTTCAGAAAGCCCTTAATCTAAAAACACCAGAAAAGAAATCACAATGACATTCTGGTTTGACACACGAAGCAAGGCTATTCAGAAGACGCAGACAGATTGAGACCCCATTGTTTCCAATCCCTGCAGTTTGGGGGTGTGGAGGAGTGTCTAATGGGTGGCTCTGAAAGGGAAAGAGGCCAGGAAGCCTCCTGGGAGAAGCCATCATGATGGGAAGGGGATGTCATGGAGCAAAGCGTGGAGATCCTGTTTGAGGTCAAGGAGACAGAGTGG